TTGGTCACTTAATCAAGGAGGTTACTGGAGGCATACATCAAATTAATTGTTTTAGTTGCTGTTAATAAAATGTTTTCTATAAACTTATTTTAAATACACCTTTTAAACCACAAAACAACTTACATGACAAACTGAATTACAAAATACAAATGTCCTTTTTTATATGGATTTTATGCACTTTCACAAAAAAAGTCAAAATAGTCTTTTTTGTTCTGCACAGGTGTCATAACTTTCTTAGAGAATCCCATTTCTTCTTGTATACTTTTATGATTTTATTTCTTCCACATTTAAAAATAGCAAGATTATTATCTGATATCCCCCTTGTATTCTATGATTATTCGCCTCCCCTTAGCCTCGGTTTAACTTTTTAGCATGCCACTCGTTCTTTTTCTAGCAAAACTCTACTTTCTGTTCAAACGGAACGTACAGTGCAATTAACTTTCAGTGAGCAGGGCCATCCAATGAAGTTCAAAAATTACCTTCAGATCAGTTTAATGAATGCAGTCTGCTCCGCAAGCCATTTGACATTTTCGCAGAGGAAAAGCAAAGGTTAGAAAATTTCAAGAGTGTGCTGCGTAATGGATGAAGCAACTGCAATATTATTTCACAGAGACGTTACTTAAAATTAAAATTTGTTATCTGAAACTGAAATTAATCCTCCTTGCCAGATAAGCATCTTGAGATGTCACTCCTCCCGTCCCGTCCCATCTGAGAAACTAAGCAATGCCACTCTGAATATGAAAATTCAGACGGTATAAGCAGTACGAGAACAGCAGAGTAATGCAACTGCAATATTTGCATTTTTCAATCAATATTCTTTTCCTTCGTTGATTTTCTGGGTAACTAATGAAAGCATAGACTTCTCTCACGTGATGCAGTCAGATACAGCATAATTTTCTTTTCATTTGATTGATTGATTGAAATTGCCTTATTTTACGTGGCGAGACTCGGGCCATCAGGTCCGCTCTTCCGTCTGACCATTCAAATTTCGCTACGCTCCTTTCACCAACTAGGA